ACAATCTCCTCACAGATGAAGAAGAGACTTGAAGCAACAAAAACAAAGAAAAGAGTACTGACCTGTTACGTAATATCATTCCTCCTATATGGCAGTGAATGCTGGACAATCTCCTCACTGATGAAGAGGAGACTTAAAGCAACAGAAACAAAGAAAAGTGTACTGAACTGTTACGTAATATCAGTCCTCCTATATGACAGTGAATACTGGACAATCTCCTCACTGATGAAGAGGAGACTTAAAGCAACAGAAACAAAGAAAAGTGTACTGAACTGTTACGTAATATCAGTCCTCCTATATGGCAGTGAATGCTGGACAATCTCCTCACAGATGAAGAAGAGACTTGAAGCAACAGAAACAAAGAAAAGAGTACTGAACTGTTACGTAATATCAGTCCTTCTATATGGCAGTGAATGCTGGACAATCTCCTCACAGATGAAGAAGAGACTTAAAGCAACAGAAACAAAAAAAAGTGTACTGAACTGTTACGTAATATCAGTTCTCCTATATGGCAGTGAATGCTGGACAATCTCCTTACAGATGAAGAAGAGACTTGAAGCAACAGTGTTGAAGCTTGAATAAGCATGGAATAATAATAATACAACACAAAATGTACGTAACAAAATGTATTGAAACAATGATAAAAGGTACACAATATTTACAGGTAGTTTTGGTATATTCTTGGGAAGACTGTTCCTGCAGAATGGGTTGATTAAGTCGCAGTCAGGCAGAGTCTCTGGATTCGATCTCTTAATCTTCCCTCGTCTTCCGGTACCAACCCATATTTATATGGTCGGTACTCCACTTATGTAAATTAGGTGTATCATACACAACAAACAGAAACAAAGAAAAGAGTACTGAACTGTTACGTAATATCAGTCCTCCTATATGGCAGTGAATGCTGGACAAACTTCTCACAGATGAATAAGAGACTTGAAGCAACAGAAACAAAGAAAAGAGTACTGAACTGTTACGTAATATCAGTCCTTCTATATGGCAGTGAATGCTGGACAATCTCCTCAAAGATGAAGATGAGACTTGAAGCAACAGAAACAAAAAAAAGAGTACTGAACTGTTACGTAATATCAGTCCTTCTTTATGGCAGTGAATACTGGACAATCTCCTCACAGATGAAGAAGAGACTTGAAGCAACAGAAACAAAGAAAAGAGTACTGAACTGTTACGTAATATCAGTCCTTCTATATGGCAGTGAATGCTGGACAATCTCCTCACAGATGAAGAAGAGACTTGAAGCAACAGAAACAAAGAAAAGAGTACTGAACTGTTACGTAATATCAGTCCTTCTATATGGCAGTGAATGCTGGACAATCTCCTCACAGATGAAGAAGAGACTTAAAGCAACAGAAACAAAAAAAAGTGTACTGAACTGTTACGTAATATCAGTTCTCCTATATGGCAGTGAATGCTGGACAATCTCCTTACAGATGAAGAAGAGACTTGAAGCAACAGTGTTGAAGCTTGAATAAGCATGGAATAATAATAATACAACACAAAATGTACGTAACAAAATGTATTGAAACAATGATAAAAGGTACACAATATTTACAGGTAGTTTTGGTATATTCTTGGGAAGACTGTTCCTGCAGAATGGGTTGACTAAGTCGCAGTCGGGCAGAGTCTCTGGATTCGATCTCTTAATCTTCCCTCGTCTTCCGGTACCAACCCATATTTATATGGTCGGTACTCCACTTATGTAAATTAGGTGTATCATACACAACAAACAGAAACAAAGAAAAGAGTACTGAACTGTTACGTAATATCAGTCCTCCTATATGGCAGTGAATGCTGGACAAACTTCTCACAGATGAATAAGAGACTTGAAGCAAGAGAAACAAAGAAAAGAGTACTGAACTGTTACGTAATATCAGTCCTTCTATATGGCAGTGAATGCTGGACAATCTCCTCAAAGATGAAGATGAGACTTGAAGCAACAGAAACAAAAAAAAGAGTACTGAACTGTTACGTAATATCAGTCCTTCTTTATGGCAGTGAATACTGGACAATCTCCTCACAGATGAAGAAGAGACTTGAAGCAACAGAAACAAAGAAAAGAGTACTGAACTGTTACGTAATATCAGTCCTTCTATATGGCAGTGAATGCTGGACAATCTCCTCACAGATGAAGAAGAGACTTGAAGCAACAGAAACAAAGAAAAGAGTACTGAACTGTTACGTAATATCAGTCCTTCTATATGGCAGTGAATGCTGGACAATCTCCTCAAAGATGAAGATGAGACTTGAAGCAAGAGAAACAAAGAAAAGAGTACTGAACTGTTACGTAATATCAGTCCTCCAATATGGCAGTGAATGCTGGACAATCTCCTCAAAGATGAAGAAGAGACTTGAAGCAAGAGAAACAAAGAAAAGTGTACTGAACTGTTACGTAATATCTGTCCTCCTATATGGCAGTGAATGCTGGACAATCTCCTCACAGATGAAGAAGAGACTTGAAGCAACAAAAACAAAGAAAAGATTACTGAACTGTTACGTAATATCAGTCCTCCTATATGGCAGTGAATGCTGGACAATCTCCTCACAGATGATGAAGAGACTTGAAGCAACAGAAACAAAGAAAAGAGTACTGAACTGTTAGGGAATATCAGTCCTCCTATATGGCAGTGAATGCTGGACAATCTCCTCACAGATGAAGAGGAGACTTGAAGCAACAGAAGCAACGTCAAGCCTGGTCAGTACCAAAGTTGGTGACCACTTGGGAATACCAGGCGCTGTAATCTTGGATGTGCGGGTGGTGTAATGAATAAGAACTCGCAGTTGTTAATCGGAGTGCCGAGTTCCAATTCTCGTTGGATCCGTTATATTCGTTTAAGCGCAAATACCTTTGGGAAACACGTGAAACCACCTCCTCTCCCCCCAGCTATAGGTTAATTAGTAAGACGTGTATAACTAAAGTATTATTATCTCCTCCACCACTAAAAAGATCTTACAATCTGAAAATGTTTTCGGGTTTTAAATAACCTGGAAAGGGTTGATAAGCCGTAAAAAACGAATCAATCAATCAACGTGCTATTTTTAATTTGTTGATAAACGTGTATATTTATATTATTTTAAACGGCCACTGGTATCTATGGTCCATTGATTACTGTTGGCATTATATAACTCTCTAATGGCTAAATAGCTATTTACATTATTCGGACTATTTTCTTCATCGTTGTCGCCATATTTATTACAACGTTTCGGTCGTTGTACGCTCCGGCCTTCTTCAGGTGGTTGGAATGTCGAACTGAACCCTTTATTTCGCTCACTGGGGTAGACTGTTCTAGCTCCACGTGCCATGTTTAATGGATGTCAGTTATCAGTTATCTCCTGCTAATTTCCCTCTGAAAGTTCTCCATTGCCTTAACCGGGTATTGAACTCACTGTTTGGGTCCTGTCACTGGATCTAACTAACGCCTGTATCCACTGTGCCATGTGTCCTTGAGGAAGGCCGGAGCGTACAACGGCCGAAACGTTGTAATAAATATGACGACGAAGATAAGGACAATAGTCCTAATAATGTAAATAGTGTACATAATACCTCATCTCATAAATATGGACAGATACTGAAGAAGGCCTGAGCGAACAACGGCCGAAATGTTGTAATAAATATGGCAACAAAGATGAGGACAATAGTCTGAATAAGGTAAATAGTGTACATAATACCTCATCTCAGAAATATAGACAGATACTAAAGGACTGAAACGTTGTAATAAATATGGCGACAAAGATGAGGACAATAGTCCGAATAATGTGAATAGTGTACATAATACCTCATCTCAGAAATATAGACAGATACTAAAGGGCTGAAACGTTGTAATAAATATGGCGACAAAGATGAGAGCAATAGTCCGAATAATGTAAATAATGTACATAATACCTCATCTCAGAAATATAGACATATACCGAGGTAAAAAAATTGTTTGAATGATTCTGTACAAAAACTTATTGTATAGGCTAAAATGAGGATTGGAAAAAAAAAAGCACCTAATATTTAATAAAGTGATATTTATTTATAATATATGAATTTTTACAGAGAAGAATTAAAACTTTTTTTTTTTACAAGCAATTCGATTGTCAGTGTTTTTTTTTCTTAGAAAAATAATTTGTTTGCCTTTTTTTTAAAAACTTTTTTCGCTTTAATCGATTTCGCTTAGCTTTTCAAAAAGTTTTTAACCGTTTCTATCTCCACGTGTTGATGCTTATGTGTTGTAGAAAATCAAAAAATCAAGGGGCGTAATTGGCTATATATGTCGTTTATGGTAAGGGGAATTTGGTAGAATCTATTTATGCCATGAATTAAGTATAGGTTTGAACTTGTTGATGACAAATGTTTCCTTATTAATCCGCTTTTGTTCAGTTGTTCTATAGTCGCATTGGTAAAATGAGAAGACACTAAAATTTGGCAGATTTTGTCCTCCACATTCCTCTATATGTTGGCTAAAGGGTATTTTTTCTCTGGTGTGGGGGTCCCTAATTTGTTGGCGATGAACTGTCATCCTTTGTCGGAGCGACTGGCTGTTTTTAATCGGCCACTGGTATCTATGGTTCATTGGTTATTGTTGGCATTATATAACTCTGTAGTTGCTAAATAACTCATCATGTTAAAAAAGGTTTATGTGTTTAATATGACAGTAACTCAAAATGGAAACTAATCCCGAAGGAAAAATGATTAGCAATAGAATGACAAAACGGCGATGCCAATTCCTATATTAATGACAAGTTGAAGCAAGACGATCACCGCGTAGACAAAGGTGTCTGATTGCCTCGCAAAAAAGGCTTGAACAAATAAGATTGCAGTCAAAGAAATGCAGTAGCAAGGAATCGGATTAATTAAACGGTTCATTGGCCTCAATTTTCGTTGTCAATTCTGAATCTCGTTTTTATTGAATATCATTGCATTGTTTCAAAACTTTTGTTTCTTTGCATCTCAATAAAAAAATAACGATTCCTATTATAAATCTGCTTCCTTCTCTGCTAATTAGTAAGCTCAGGCTGTTCATTATCTATCTATCTATCTATCTATCTATCTATCTACAGGCTGTCCATTATCTATCTATCTATCTATCTATCTATCTATCTACAGGCTGTCCATTATCTATCTATCTATCTATCTACAGGCTGTCCATTATCTATCTATCTATCTATCTATCTATCTACAGGCTGTCCATTATCTATCTATCTATCTATCTATCTATCTATCTATCTATCTATCTATCTATCCCAGTCTGTTCATATCTATCTCAGTCTGATCTATCTATCTATCTATCTATCTATCTATCTATCTATCTATCTATCTATTGGCTGCATCGAACTAAATTTGTTATCTTGATACCACTACACATGCATACGAACGAGGGGTGATTGGATTTTTTTTATATCTAGTCGAATTCATTTAGTATTTTTTCTCGGTCTATTCACAATCTATCTATCTATCTATCTATCTATCTATCTATCTATCTATCTATCTATCTATCTAGTTAGCTAGCTTCAGATGTCATTTTCCTAGTATTTTCAAAGCTGTCACCTGCAGTTCTGTTACTGTCAGTCCTGTCATCGCCTAACCTGTCACCTTCTCATCTGCCACCACCAGATCTGTCGTTCCCAGACCTGTCACCTCAAAACCCGTCACCTCAACTCACGTAACCGTCAAACATGTCACTTTGAGATCTGTCACCTCGAGACAAGTCACCTTCTATCATGACCTCTTCTGTCCTGCTATTTCATCCCCTTCAGACATGTCACCTTCATATTCGTTATCACCTGTCACCTTCAATGCTGCTAACATCAAATATGTCACTTTTGGAAGTGTCACCTCTATACCGGCTACGCTCTATCATGTCAGCTTTGTTCCCGTTAAGACCTGCCACCTTCGAACCTGTCACCACCAAACTTGCTACCTTTATATCTGTTATCGCTAGACCCGCCAACCCCAGAAGTGTCACTGTCGTTTCCAGAACTGTTACCACCAAACCTGTCACCTTGAAATCTGTCACCACGAGATCTGTCCCTTTCAAACCTATCTACTCCAGACCAGTCATGTTCAAACCTGTTATCACAAAAATCCGTCACCCCCCCCCACCAAGGCTGTCATCTCCACACCTGATGACATCAAACCTCTCAGTTTAGGACCTGTCACTTTCGGGCCTGTCATCTCCAGATATGTCATCAAGCCTGTTACTTACAGAACTATCGGATCGAGACATGTCACTATCAGAAGTGTCACCTGCAAATCTGTTACATCCAAAGCTGTCACCACGAGATCTGTCATTTTCAAACGTATCTACTTCAAATCACCTCCCCCCTCCATACCCGTCACCATCCAAGCTGTTACCACTGTATCGGTTAACTAATTGTTACCCCTAAGACCTATCCCCTCTAGGCCAGCCACAGTCTAATTCTGATGTTCTCAACCAGGGGTAAATTTACCTCTAGGGGGTAAAAAATTATATAGTCGTAGGTAAATAATTGAAGTACCTGATAATTAAAAAAAAACACCTGAAAGCCAATGATGATATGAGAGTAGCATTATCAGAAACAACTCCTCGCATAAACAAACTGATTGACTCAATGAATCAAGCATTGTCCCCATTGATAATGCTTCTGCTGTTTCTGTTCATTATTTTTTGTAATCCAAATTAACTTCATAATTTTCTATTTAGAAAAGGTTTGATTTTCTTCTTCGTTTTTTTGATACCAATGTATAATACTATTTTTATACAAAACCTAAAAGTCCTAAACAATAAAAAGGTTCTTTCCGACCTTCTTGTTTTTCTGTCACTTTATGACATTGATGTACAAATGAATGATGGATTACTAATTTTTGGATCAGAATACTGAATTTTAACTAATTTTTAGTATTTGTCTTTTTTTATTTCTGTTTTGGTATTTTTTACTAATGACTAATTTGCACAATTTTTAGTCACAAATTAGTCAGTACTAATCATAATCATTCATTCAAAAAAAAATTTTTTTTAGTATTTTCCAAAAATTTTTAAAATTGCCAAAAACAAAAAATACTAATAAAAATTTTTTTTTTTGAATGAATGATTATGATTAGTATTAATTTGTAGATCTACTAATACAGCGGATAAAATGAATAATTTTTTTTATTAATGACTACAAACGTTAATAAAAATACTGAATTTTATACAGAGTACTAAATTATACTAAAAAATTTGTAGATTAGTACTAAATAAGAAATCAGTATTTTGAGTGTCGCTTAGTATTTTTTTTTTAGGCACAATATTTTGACTAAAAAAACCCTTAGTATTTTGAATGAAAAAATCATTCATTCATTTAGTCACGAAATTGTACATCAATGCTTTATGATGGCTATGAATTTTTTGTATGGGATTAGGGGGTAAATGGAGAAATACATAAAGCCGAGGTGGTCAATGATGGAGGAAAGATTGAGAATGGCTGGTCTAATGTATCACCCGCAGACCTGTCACCGCTTAACATGTCGCCTCTGTAATTGACACCTTCAGCCCTGTCACCATAGCTGTTATCTCAAGACTTGTCAACTCAAGACATATCCCGTTCATAACTTACAGCCAGACCTGTCGCCGAATTTAACCTGTCAACACCAAACCTGTCATGCGCAAACCTGTCACCATCATATATGTCACCTCCATACCTCTCACGGCTTAACCAGTCCATCTTCAGACCTGTCACCACAGACCTATCGCCCTCTCAACTTTTCACCTCTATACCTGTTAGCGTTTAAGCTGTCACGCCCGAAACTGTCATCAAACTGTCACCTCCAGACCGATCACATTTAAGACATGTCATCTAACGTTTAAAAGAGTATGTATGTGCGTCTTTGTGCATATATGTGTGCCGCTCTCTCTCTCTTTCTCTCTCTCCCTCCCCTCCTCTCTCTCTCTCTCTATATATATATATATATATATGATTGACTCTCCCGTCGAGTTCAACGTATGAGTTTTCGACGACCATGAACTAATTATCTGCCTGCCTATGACAGGCATGACTTTTGAGACCGGCTAACGAATTGCACAAAAGACCACAAAGAGTACAGGAGAACATATTGTATCCAAGTGCAGCAGGAACACTGTTAGATGTCTTATTTTGCTTTCTTGTTTCATATAGTCAACTAATGGTTACTTCTCAGTACAGCTATATCAATGTTGTACTTCTTTAGCTCCAATGCAAACAGAGCTATTTTGTCTTTCTGGTACTGAGTTGTTGTCCTGGAGAGTTCGTACATTGCAAGTGCCAAGATGAAGTTGATGTTGTTTCGTAGAGTTTTTCGCAGTAGCCGGATATGTGTGGAACTAATTAGATGGAGTTGTCAAAAAGCCAACACAATGATTTGTTTCAAGTGGTGAAGGCTTGTGTTGGACCATCCACACTTTTTGGATCTGTCGATAAAAAAGTAATGGTGAAAAAGACTTGCCACAGAAATTCCGAATGACAGTCTTCATGTGTTATTATCAGAGTTTAATGTCTCCAGATCACAGTCAATACCAGCCAGTACACACGCACACACACACACACACACACTCTCTCTCTCTCTCTCTCTCTCTCTCTCTCTCTAGATATATATATATATATATATATATATATATATATATATATATATATTTTAGATTTAGTTGATGTGAGTTTGATAGCCTGGGTTTCACGCAGTTTGCAATTGTCAGACAAACTGACAGTTTGACGAGCGCAAATGGCGTGAAACGCAGGGTCACAAACTCACATCAATCCAACTAAATATGTTAGCTCTATCACCGATATTGAGCGCATCCCAATAACTACTGCGTATATATATATATATATATATATATATATATATATATATATATATATATATAATCATACACGTTTCATTAAATAATATAGACAAGTCGTCTGATATGTTTAATAACATTATCGTTGAACGAAGAAAGAAATTCACAATATTGATCCATATTTTGTTTCACGACGCTTGACACTACATTTGAATGAAAACTCTAACATTTTAGACATTTAAAACAACATGCCTGCCCGCACACAATTCCGTAAAATACTTGTCGAAAACACAACTATACTTCGACATGAAAACAATAGACAAAAACTAAAAATCCTTGAAGCATTATACATCAAACAGTTGAAACCCAACCTAAACAAAATCAATTATGTAATCTATACAAATATCCTTAAATGTCTATAATTGGTAACAGAAGCCATTGGTTTATACCAACGGCTTTCCATACTTCATTCTCCAATTCACTCTCGTGTGGTCATGTGTGACGTCATGAGATGCGGTGCGATTTTCGCTTCTAGCGTCTTATATGCACGTGTTTATCGTTGCTTAGAAATCATCTATGTAAACAATGACAGACTATCATCACTGTCTTGTCCGTATATTGCCTAATATTTTGTAATTGACATCTTTGATAATGCCTTATGTAAGCCGAAAGCTTAGATTGTATTAAAAAAATATGGATCAATATTGTGAATTTCTTTCTTCGTTCAATGATAATGTTATTAAACTTATCAGACGTCATGAAAAGAATTTACATAAAATAAATAGACAACACTTGTCTATATTATTTAATGAAACGTGTATGAATGAAAAATGATGCTGCCTAAATACACACACACAATATATATATATATATATATATATATATATATATATATATATATATATATATTAATGAACACACATATAATTCTACGTTTAATAATTATATAATTAGAATCTGATATTGAGGTATAGATCTGGATTCAAGCTGATTTGTGGGAATAAAAAGATGAAATAAAATAAAGACTGAATACAGTGAAATAATTTTTAAAAAAATTCGTTAAAAATAAAGAAATAGCGAATCCGGGACGAGGGGGGGGAATTTTATATAAATAAGTATATTAAAGAAAAATGTAATAACTAATTATCTATTTATTTTTATCATTTTTTTTCACGTTCAATGCAAACTTCAGATGCAATGTATTGAACATGAAATGAAACTCCGATTTCTACTTTCGACGTAAGGTAAGGAGATTGACTTGACACCCCCGCCAAATGAGTCAGGTTGTGACACAAGGTCGGTTTTTAACGTGGGGACCCGAGTGTTTTCACTCGGGCCGCTGGTCTAAGCTGGTCTTAGCGGGTCATAGCTTGTCCAAGCTGGTCAGAGCTGGTCTAAACTAGTCATAGCTAGTCTTAGCTGGTCCAAGCAGATCCGAGTTGGTCAAAGCCGTGATACCACCAGCACAGGGACGGAACCCTGTGCCAAGTAAGTATCGACGTAAGGTAAGTATGTATAGTTATTAATATATAATTTATAATTCTCTATTGCCATATTGAGCACTGTTTTGTCAACAGCAAAAATTAAATAAAATATTTATTTGTAAATTTATATATATGCGTGTTTGCACGAATATATGGTTCTTATATCCATATTTTATTTAATCTATCTATCTATCTGCATTCAGACATATATATGTCTATCTATCTATCTATCTATCTATCTATCTATCTGTATTCAGACATATATATGTATATCTATCTATCTATCTATCTATCTATATACAGACATATATATGTGTATATTCGTATTCATCTATCTATCTATCTATCTATCTATCTATCTATCTGTATACAGACATATATATGTGTATATTCGTATCTATCTATCTATCTATCTATCTATCTATCTATCTATCTATCTATCATTTTCAAAGAGTATGTGTGCGGTCTTTGCGTATATATATATATATATATATATATATATATATATATATATATTTTTGCTTTGATAAAGTCCACATTGGACGAAACGCGTCAGCAATTACCAGTTTTCCTATTGTCATTTTTATTCATAAATATATATATATATATATATATATATATATATATATATATATATATATATATATGTATACGTGCTTCTGTATATACACACGTATACATACGAATACAGGTGTGTCTCCTTACAAGTTTATATCGACCTTGCCTTCGCTCAACCACCATTCTTCCCTCTCCACCTTTTTTCTCCGGCGAACTCCTTCAAAGAGCGATCAACAACAGGTTGCATTCATCTTTATCTCAAGCGCTTCATGTGAATGACGTCACTCTGACGTCACAATAGCGTTACCGTTTCAATTTTTTTTTTCTCTTTGCGGGCTTTTGACAGAGAGACGCCATTTTCTTAACAGCGTCGTCTTTTTCTCTCATCTACTTACCCGAAACTGATCACAATTCGCTTTCTTTTTCGAGATTGCCTGTTGTCGAGCAAATTATATTTTGCAGGCATTTTAATAGCGCTTAGTTTCCCTTTCAACCAACAACACTCACTTATTTTCGTTTTAAATCATTAGTGGAACTTTCAGCGACACACACGAAGCATCTAAAATTGTGGGAGACAATGTGATTGGCGAATATAATCTTGTCAGCCATTATAATTGTTTTACCATCGCCACAAAGGCAATTTATAAAGGTTACTTCGATAATAAAATCCTGTAATCATTCCTTTAAAAAAAAAAATATCATTCCACTCCAAGATAGGTAATAAATCCACTAAGATGTAGGGATTTACTGAGTGTTAGAGAATATGAGAAAAATATACTATTAACGAGCAATAACGGGAAAAAAGAATTAAGAAGACAGAAGATGACGATTGACATTGCTATTCAATTTTTGAAGATCAAAGTTGACTGGAAAGGAAAATGCCGAATAGTCCATTATGTTATTATGGGACTTTACCCATAATAACATAATGGACTATTCCATACGTAATAAATACTGCGCCTCAAGAGGAAGCAGAGAGTTTAGCCTGAAGTCTAGAGTTCAGTCTGAAGTCTGGAGTGAAGTCCGTCAGGAGTCTGTCAGTCAGTCAGAGCGAGTCAGTCAGTCAGTCAGTCAGTCGAGTCAGAGGCAGTCCGAAACAGAGTCGCGTTCAGACAATTACTGCAAGACATTGGAATAGTGATACTGGTCGAAACTACATTGTTCTCCCTACTAAACCTGATTTTTCGTACTAACACTTTTTACTTCTCTGTATATATTCCTGTTTGTAATATATCTGTGTTATTCCATAACCTTCGAGTTCTTCTTTATTGGTTCTACCTTGGACTATCACCGTGGTACAAGGAACCGGACCATAACAGAAAGTTCCACAAGCGAGAAGTGCGATAGAAGAAACTGTTGGTATAGAACTTACGGTTAGATCAAGTCATTCCAACGATAATATGGTGAGACCTATCTGTCAATCTAGTACTGCGCTTAAATTCATAAAGTCGACGTACCATAGAGGAAATTAATATTTTTTGTAAATGCAGAAATGTAGCACAAGGTCAAGATGGCGGATAGGGAGAGGCCAAAGCCAAAAAGAAGGATAAGGGAAGGCTGGTCTTCAGCCTGTCTTAAACTTATATATTCCTTAAGGAACATAGGGCCGCAGGATATCGTTGCGGTTTCAGCAACAAGCCAGGATTTTTTTTAAGTTGTTAGCTTACTGGAGGATCAGGTTTTGAATTCAGAGTTGTCCTTCTCCTAAACTAGTTGCCATCCAAGGCTATAGAACCCGGTGTGTCCTGCTATTTACCCATAGCTGGAGGGAGAAGAAGAGGGTTCATATCTTTCCCAAGGGTATTAGAACGTAAGTGAATGTAATGGATTCGATTGGAATTCGAATTCGGCTCTCCGATCCGAGCGATCATGTATCTTTCGACTTTCAACTTTTGAGCATTTACGATTAAAATCGTCTGAAAAATGCACAGGAATGCCTAATTTGCAGTTTATTTGCTTACAGACGTCAAAATTTTTCTATTCCAAGTCAATCAGTTATGTGCCATGCGTGATACACGCGTAGGCGATCATGTATCTTTCGATACATGATTTTTTTTCCCGCAGTAGGTTGCCATTTCTTTCTGCGATAGACCAGTTGCCATTCAAGGCTATAGAACCCGGTCTGTCCGGCTATTTACCCATAGCTGGTGGTGGTGGGGGGGAAGAAGATGAGTCATACCTTTCCCAAGGATATTAGCACGTAAGTGAATATAATGGATTCGACTGGAATTCGAACTCGTCTCTCTGATTCCTCAATCCGAGCCTTCTCTGTCTTAAACTTTGATAGTTTACACTAGCTAAGTTTAAAATAGAGAAGGCACATTCTTACTTACCATTCTTACTACAGCCACCATAATACCACAGTGTCTCTATGACGTCCAAACTAGTTCCATATGTACAGTTTGTCTGGGGAAGGGGTGGATAAAAATAACGACTTTTAAAAAGTAAAACCCCAATGAATATACTATAGAGAAAAAAATATGTGAATAATTACCATGAAAGTATTTATAGAAAGGGCAGCTAGATTACGACAGTGGGAAAATGACTGAAACCAAGTTGCCAGGTCAGCACCAATAACATCGCAGATTCATTTTTGGATTTTGTCAAGAATCTTCAAGTATATAGTAGGGACATCAGCTCAAAGAAAGAAGCTTGTTTTCAACAGACTTTAACGAAAGGTGGGTGACTGAGGTGAGCTTGGTTCGTGTGAACGGGGCTAACCTTGATTTTTTCTTTTAGGTCTAACTAATTGTTATGGGAACTTACCCATAATAACATAATGGACTATTCCATACGTAATAAATACTGCGCCTCAAGAGAAAGCAGGGAGTTCAGCCTGTCAGAAGTCCGTCAGTCAGTCGACTCAGAGGCAATCCGAAACAGAGTCGCGTTCAGACAATTACTACAAGACATTGGATACTGGTCGAGACTACATTGTTCTCCCTACTAAACCTGATTGTTCATACTAACACTTTCTACTTCTCAGTATATATTCCTGTTTGTAATATATCTGTATTATTCCATACCCGTGTTCGCGTTCTTCCTTATTGGTTCTACCTTGGACTATCACCGTGGTACAAGGAACCGGACCATAATACTAATTTACATCGGGGTGGTTTCCTGATGGAACCCTTCCTTGGTTAGGCTAGACAAGCTTTGTGTAACTAGTTAAGTGTTGTCCCCGGCCTGCTCCCGGCTGCATCTTTTGTTATGATCCAAGTTGAGATTCCCAACCTCCTCAGTTTGTTTTTGGCCTTCTTTCATCTCGACTGGGTCAGCATTATTTATTCCCCGTAATGCCCGTAAACTTTTTCTCATTTCCCACTCCCTCAGCGAGAGAGCTTCTTGATTCTGTCGTAAGGCAGAATACAGCGGCCTCTCTTTTTTTTTTTGAGGGTTGGAGTTATGTTTATTTTGCTTTGTTTTGATATTTACTTTGTTTTGGGGGTTCATCTCCCACTCTCATTGTCAATCATTAGATTTTGATGTATGAAATTTTTATGCTCATCAAATTTTAATATGACGGAGTGCGTTTTGGTACCCCCCCCCGCCGAGAGGATGCGGTATTATGGTGTATGGAGGATTGATTGGTGAAGGACGAATTCTTGTGGTGAATGTGTGAATTATAATGAGTGAATGGGTCATATTATACATAATATCCAGAAATTCGTACACTATTTACATTATCCGGACTATTGTCCTCAGCTTTGTCGCCATATTTATTACAACGTATCGGCCGTTGTTCGCTCAGGCCTTCTTCAGTATCTGTCCATATTTCTGAGATGAGGTATTATGTACTCTATTTACATTACTCCGACTATTGTCCTCATCTTTGTTGCCATATTTATTACAACGTTTCGGCCCTTCAGTATCTGTCTATATTTCTGAGATGAGGTATTATGTACACTATTTACATTATTTAGACTATTGTCCTAATCTTTGCGTTATATTTATTACAACGTTTCGGCCGTTGTACGCCCCGGCCTTCCTGAAGGACACATGGCACAGTGGATAAAGGCGTTAGTTAGATCCAGTGACAGTGACCAAAGAGTGTGAGTTCAATACCTGGTTAAGGCAGTGGAGACCTTGGAGAGGGGAATTAACTGATAACTGGCATCCATTAAACATGGCACGTGGAGAGGGGAATTAACAGATAATTGACAACTGACATCCATTAAAAACATCGTACGTGGAACTAGAACAGTTTACCCCAGTTCGACATTCCAACCAGCTGAAGAAGGCCGGAGCATACAACTTTCTTTCTTTCTTTCTATTCTCCCCCTTCTCTCTCCCCCTCTCTTTCGTCACTTCCCCATTTCTAACTTTTTCTTCCTTCCATCCTCCTCTTTTTTGCATTCTTTTCTTATTTACCCACCCCGCCGATGTTAAATTCTCTTACCTTTCTTTCTTTCTTTCTTTCTTTCTTTCTTTCTTTCTTTCTTTCTTTCTTTGTACCGGTTCTTGTTCGATCGCCGAAGTTAAGTAACGTCGAGCCTGGTCACTACCTATATATGTGACCGCTTGAGAGTATCAGTTGCTGTAATCATGGGTGTGCAGGTGGTGTAATGAATAAAGGCTCCGAATTGAAAATCAGAGAGTCGAGTTCGAATTCCAGTCGTGTTTATTCTATTCACTTACGCGCAAATACCCTAGGGAAAGGTACGAATCCAACTTTTATCTACCCAGCTATTGGTTAATTAGTAGAACATGTGTCAGTAAATCATTATTATCCCCCCAAATTCTTCCAATCTAAATAAAAATCTGGGTTGATAAACCGTAAAAAACAATCAATGAATCTATCTATCTATCTCGGTCTGTTCGTATCTATCTATCTATCTATCTATCTATCTATCTATCTATCTCAGTCTGTTCGTATCTATCTACCTATCTATGTATCGCAGTCTTGTCATTATCTATCTATCTATCTATCTATCTATCTATCTATCTATCTATCTATCTATCTATCACTACTTGTCTACCAACCTACTTAGCCAAGTGATTATGGGTTATGAACCAGTTTTACGGCCAGATGCATTTGTGTTGAAAGTTTGATAAAAATCTCACGTATCCGCATTTGCTCCGAGGAAAGCAATTGCTAATATGCAATCTCTTTCTAATGAGCTGGAAACTTGAAGCGTTTCTGCCTATCTATCTATCTATCTATCTATCTATCTATCTATCTCACTCTATTTCTATCTATCTATCTATCTATCTATCTATCTATCTATCTATCTATCTATCTATCTCATTCTGTTTCTTTCTATCTATCTATCTATCTATCTATCTATCTATCTATCTATCTATCTATCTATTTCTATTGCCGCTTCTTCTCAGCAACGTTTTCGCAGTTTCGATCTTTTCCTTGGCGTCTTAGTGGCTTTATCTCCTTCCTTGGAATGAAATGATCAAAAACGAAAGAAAGAAAATCATTCAGTGGATATGTTGAACCTTCTGGCCCAGATGAAAACTTTGAAGTCAGTCGAAACATAAGTCAACACAATTTTTATTAATATATTGACTACATATACATTAGTCTATCAAGCTTTAGATAACCATGGTGATGATAGACCAGTGACTCTAGATATCTCAATGGGTTCGACAGGGTTTGGCAGGCTGGGCTTCTACGCAAACTTGCGGGTTACAATGTCATGGAATTTATGTTTTACGGCATATCAACACCTAAATGGGTTATATAATGGGTTATATAATTTTTATTGCTGGTAATATGTTTTTCTTCAAAAATCTATTTCTGGGAATATTTTTCCTTGAAGAAATCTATAGCTGGTCATATTTTTTTCAAAGAATGTATAGCTGTTTGTATTGCTGTTTTTTTTTTGTTTTTTTTTTAAGTATTGCTGATAATAATATTTCCTTTAAAAATTATTGCTGGTAATGATTTTTTTTATTACAAAGTATTTCTGGTATTAAAACCTATTTTTGCAAAAGTTTGGGTGTCAACTTTTTCCCATAGCTAGGACCCTAACAGGTGGTCAGGGTGGACCGGGGAACATCAGCAATTAAGAGGTGGTTCCACACTCCTCAAAACCTCCTGATCAGAGGCCTTGCTGCTGGACGTAGTTTATCGTTATACCCGGGATGCGGATGTAGTTTATCGTCATACACAGGACGGTAATCAAGTAATAAAGGCCATGTTGAACGGGCAAGTTTCCATATCATTTCATACTAAAGCGCGGGGGGGGGGAGAGGTTCCCATGGCTCCATCCGTTGGCCTATGCTGGTTCTGATCCTCATCAATGATCTTCATGATGCCGCCAGATGACACCCCCATTTACTCCAGACTCAGTAGCAAATCGAACAGATCCGACAAAGTAAACCTGACAACTGCTCTTGAAAAAGGACTGCCAGTCAGTGGTTAACTGGGGCAAGAAATGGCTTGTAAATTTCAACGTCTCCAGAACACAACTGCTTTCACTTAACCAGCTCAAAGAACTTTTTCTGCCTACCTACACACACACACACACACACACGCACACACGCACACACGCACACACACACACACACACACACACACACACACACACACACACACACGTAACAGAAATTCATGAAAAGTGACATCATGAGGTATAGCCCGAGAGCTCCGGTTAGTAACGACAATGTTTCATTATTGTGTTACAGAATGTGTAGTTTGACTCAGGATAACAAACTCCTTGTCAGAGCACCCAATGGGCGTCGAATTCTGATAGTGATGTTTTTTTTTTAATCATTTCACCCCAAGCAAGGCGACAGTGACACTAAAACGCAGGCTTCTAAATTTTGATGTCTCCAAAACGAAACAGATTTCATTTAATAAGCTCAGAGAACTTTTTCTGCCTACCATCAAGATGGCTGATGCTGAACTCTAGAAAAGCGACACACTTCTTGGTTTCAGATTTTCCCCTGACATAAACTGAAACGAGTATATCGAGTCCATTGCTACGTCTGATGCAAGGAAGGTTGGTTCACTGTGTGTTGCTCGCTAAATTTTTTCTGTTCAGTATCCATCTTGCACATTTATAAATCTACCATTTGTCCGTGTATTGCATACTATTGCCATAATTGGTCTGGTTCGCCTGCTGTTCATCTCAAGATTCTTGACAAAATCCAGAGAAGGGTCTTTGGTGGTTCTTTGTGTCGTGCGAAAAATCTTTTCTCTTCAGTATCCATTTTGCGCATTTATAAATCTACCATTTGTCCGTGTCTTGAATACTGTTGCCATATCTGGCCTGGTATTCCTACTGTGCATCTCAAGATTCTTAATGCAATTAATGAATTTTTTAAGCAGATTATCCCACACGTTAAAAGCCCCACATGGAGACGCCCTCGGTATGACGATAAACTACATCCGGCAGCAAAGCCTCTGATCAAGAAATTGGGGGTTTTAAGACGCGAAAAGTTTCACAAAATTCTTGAAAATTCGCAGATGTAAATTGTGTCCCATTATCGGTGACTAAACAATCAACCACTCCGAAACGAGCAAACAGCTCGTGAAGGCAATTTATTGTCGTCTCAAAGTAGGTTTTCTACAACGAAATACTTCTGGCCATTTGTTGTAACTGTTCTACTACAATCAAGTAGTAGAAACCCTCAATGGACCTGCGAAATTCATGGATTCTCGACCACGGTCGATCTGTCTTAGGCCATGGCTTATGAATGATCGGAGGTGCCTTGGCTGCTAAGGAACGGCCTTTGCATTTGTCCACCATATGTATAATATCTTGATCCATGTTTGGCCAGTACTTCGCATTAAGGATTTCATCCTGTTCTTTTCTGGGTGGCCCATGTGAAAATCTTTGAGGATTCACCTTTGTAGCGTTTTCGGGGTTACTACTCTTTCATTATATAGCAGAACATTACCACATAACGAAAAACTGTCTGATATATGCTTATCTTTTCCTGCAATTTTTGTTTTCGTTTCCTTTATAAATTCGTCATTCACTGATTCGTTTCTTATTTCCTGTAATATGACGGGGAGGTTTCGAATTGTACTACATAATGATGTTCTAATATCTTCCTCATATCGTAGAGCTGCAATTACGGAATCTTCTAATGGCACCGTTTTCTTTGGTATTAGTCTCGAAAGACCGTCTGCATGCCTGATTTTGTTCGATGGAAGATACTCCAATTTGAAATTTAATAAAATCGTCCCCCATCTTAGTAATCTATTAGCAATGTGGACAGGTAGACATTTCTTTGATCCAAATATTGTTAGTAACGGCAAAATGAAAAATCTACCGTAAATATATGTGTGTAATCTTGTAATCGCAAAAATAATCCTCAGCGCTTCTTTTTCGATTTGCGAGTAATTTTTCTCTGCTGGTAGTAACGTTCTTAACGCACGCGCGATGGGTTTTAGTGTCCCATCCGGCATTTTATGAAGTATACATGCCCCAACACCATAGGCACTCGTTTCACTCGCGACTATTATTTCCAATTTTGGATCATAATGCGCTAAAAATAAATCTGCTGTTAGAGTCTTAATGATTTTGTCGAAAGTTTTCTGACATTCATGTTACCATTCTCAAACTTTCCCCTTCTTCAACAGTTCGTTTTGGGCTGCGCGTAATTTGTGCATGTTAGGAAAAAAATTCTTGATAATAATTTACTAAGCCCAAGAAGCTTTGTAACACGGCTAAATTGTTTGGAGCCGGCATTTGTTTTTATTGCCGTGGCTCTTTCTGTGTCTGGTCTTCTTCCTTCTCCGTTAATAATATGGCCCAGATATTTTATCCCCTTCATAAAGAAGTCACATTTATTTTCCTTTACCTTAAAACCGTAATTTTGTATCTGCCTGAAAACCTCTAGAACGTGTTCCCAGTGTTGTTCAATATTTTTGCTATTTATCAGGATGTCAGCAAGGTATGCGATCGGGAAATCCAGTCCGCCTAGCATAGCGTCCATTATTTGCTGAAATATCGCCGGCGCGACCTGGATCCAGAAGGTAATCCCTGGAACTTATATAATCCTTTAATGTGTGTTTATGCACAACAACCTGGAGCTTTCCTCATCTATTGGTACTTTGTAGGTATGCTTCGCTTAAGTTCATTTTTGAGAAAAATTTCCTCCGTTCAACTTTTTTTGTGAAAACTTCCTCTGGATTAGGGAGGATAGTGATAATCCTTAATCGCTGCATTAATCCTTCGAGAAATCAGCGCATACTCGTATCTCACCCGATTTCTTTTCACGTAAACTGTAGGTGCGGCCCATTGACTATATTTCACTTTTGTCAATATACCGGTTTTAACGAGTCTACTTAACTCAATCTATCTTTGTAATGATGCGTAAGGTACATTTCTTTTCTTCTTGAAAATGGGTTGTACATTTTCTTTAGTTCGATTTTTGGCCGTCATTTTTTTTTTGCACCTCCTGAGGCCGGCTGAAAATACGTCGGGGAAACTCTCCTTTAATTTCTCTTCAATTTCTCTGCCTCGGTCGATAACCTTTCCACTTTTTGGCAGAACGTATTTATCGGCAAATCCCAGAGGTCGAATTTCTGCATCCAGTCAGGTCCAAATAAATTTTCCGTATTTTTTAGAACATACATCTTTAATTTCTTGGTCATCCCGTTGAAGGTATTTACTTGATTCCCACTAAATCAAGATATGACACAAGGTCGATTAACGTGGTCATCCCGTTGAATGTCACATTTGTGATAATCTCCCCCTCATATTTGATTTTTCTTCCTGTTACCGACCGGGCTATTTTATCTGTTCTCAACATGGTCGGTTTGTTTAATTTCTTCCACGTCTGTAAGTTAATAATGGTTAAATCTGATCCGGAATCTAATTGTAATCTGATTTCTTTGTTTAACATTTCTACTTGTACGCATTTCCGTATATTTATCCCCCCCGCTTGGTTACTTCTACTGGTTTTCTTTCTTTGTTTTACAGTGCGAACTTTTATGTCCCACTTTATTGCACGACAGACAAGTCTTATAGCGGTATGGACAATATTTGTACCAATGTAAAGTCCCACACCGATAGCATGGAATGGGTGGGTGTTTCTTCTGAGGTTTCATTTGACTTTGTAGTAAAATAATTGGTTTGCTTTGTTTTTGGGGAGGGAGAAAAACATGTTTGTCGTTGTACTTTTCGTATGTGAGCGATGCCAGTCTCTTCGATATATTTCGAGTCCTTTTTTACGCTTATACATCTCTGACAGTCCTCAGCCGATTTTTGTAGGGTCAGTTTTGGTTCACTCTCCAGTTTTGTTAGAATTCTCCGTTTGATCTCCGCATCTTTAGTCGAAACCAAGCCTTGGACAAATATCAAACTTTTAAAATTGTCAGGGCTGAGTTCAGATAACTTAAAGTCATCGCAGTGTTTGTTTACTACAGAAGCGAATGTTATATAGTCTTCGCTATGCTTTTTGTTAAATTTAAACATTTCCATCTTTTTTGTGGAATAGTGAAGTGTTCGAACTAAATAATTCCGTTAAAAGTTTCACGGCTTCCTGAAAGTCAACTTCATTCGTTTTCCTCGGTAGATGTAGTCTACGAATTTAGTGTATTCGCTTGGCCCTAGTTTCTCAGTAGTAGAGGTACTTTTTCGTGTCTGACCAATTCCTGCAATCAAACTCATATGAATCTTCATATCTTCTGAAGTAAGCCGAAGGTTTTGTCTTCGTCCGGCATAAGTGAAGTCTTTGATTGAGCTCCATATAGCATCTTGCGAGAATGCCGCTTCATTTTCAGAATTTTGTCCTTTTATTTGTTACTGTCCGTAGTAGTAATTCTTGTAGTTCGAGTTGCTTTTCTTCGTTTTTCTGTTGAATTTCTAATTGTTTTTCTTCGAGGCTAGTCTGTCTTTCTCATTTTTTTTGCTGCTCGAATTGTATTTTTTATTAGTTCCAATATGGTTGTTGCCTTTAAAGTCTTCCATATTTACACCGTAATTTAATAATAACACAAGCTATCTGTTGTCACGGAGAAGAGGAGTGGAAAAAACGCACTTTTTTTCCCCCTTCTTTTTACTTTTTTAGCAATATGTACTTTGTAGCCAGAGTTGTGTACTTGTGTACCCCAAAAGGAACCCCCAAAAAAAACCCATTAAAACCCCATTTTTGCAAAAAAGCCTTTTCCCTTCTCGAAAGTTCCATATCTATAAATTTCCCTATCTATCTATCTATTTCATCTATCGCTTTCATCAAAATTTCTTAAGGGCCCTTTTCCCTTTTTTTTGTTTTTCCCATCCTAACAAAAACTATTAATTAAAAAATTTCTTTTACAATTTAAACGGGTTTTAAAATAAAATTACAAAAATAATCTATTTTCAAACTTCATCTATAAAATTTTAAACTTTCCAAACTCTTTTCCCTTTTCTTATTGGGGGGAAAAACCCCCAAACTTTTTAAAAAAAGGGAAATTTTAAAAAGGTTTTATTTTTTCAACCCATTATTTTTTGGGAAACTTTTTTTTTTTGGGGTTTGAAAATAAAAAAAATAAAAACCAATTCCATCAAATTTTCATCATCATCCCCCTACCCTTTCCATCATCACCCAAAATTTCCCCCATCATCTTTTTTTAAACCCCTTTTTCACATCTTTACTTTTAAAAAATTTTCCCCTTCACCCAAAAACGTTTCCCCATATCCCCATCATCTGTCATCTTTTAAACGTTCCTTTTTAAATCCCCTTTTTTCCCCATCATCTTCCTTCATTTTTCCTTCCCATCTGTCATCGGGGTTCTTTCTTTTTCCCTTTTTCCCCCCCCCCCAAACTTTACTTTTTTTTTTTTCCCTTTTCCCCGACCCTTTTTTTTTTTTTCCCCCTTCTATTTCCCCTTTTTCTGTTTTCTCTTTCTTCTTTCAAATTTTCCCCAACCCTTCCCTTTTTCCCCCCCCTTCTTCTTTTTTTCCCCCAATCATCATCCTTAAAAACCTTTCCCCTTCTTTTTTTTTTTTTTAAAACTTCTCATCTTCTTAAAACCCCATCCTTACCCCTTATCCCCCTTTTTTTAACCCTTCCCCATCATTTTTTTCACTTCCTACCCTTTACCCTCAATTTTTTCATCCCTTCATCCCCTCGAAACTTTTCTATCATCCCCATCTTTTTTTTCTTTTTTTTCCCAAACCTTCTATCATCTTCCATCCAAACCTTTTATCATATCATCATCATCATCATCATTTTTTTTTCCCCTTAATATTATTCCATCATAAAATTTTCCTTCATCAATTTTTTATCCCCCCTTATTAAATTTTCCCTTCTTTTAAAATTTCATCTCATCTTTCAAACCCCACCATCACCATCATCACCCTCCACCCTCATAACCCCTTTTCCCCCCCTTTTTTCCCATATCATATCCTTTCCCATTTTTATCATCATCAATTTTCCCCACATCTTTTAAACTTCCCCTTCCCCTTCACCACCCATACCCCACTTTCCTTCATCCCCAAAACCCTTTATCATTTTCTAAATTTCCCCCTTTATCACCCCCCCTCCACCCCTTCTCTTTTTTTATATTTCATCCCCCCCCTTTCTTTACACTTTTATCCCCACCCAAAGCATTTCCTCTTCATTTTCCTCCTTCCCCCCTTTCTATCATCATTCACTTTTCCCCCCTTTTCCTCCATCATCCCCTTTTTTATCCAAACCTTTTCCCCTTTAAATTTTTTTTCCATCTTCTTTTCCTTATTTCCTCCCCCCCCACTTTCTAAACCATCCTTTTACTCCCCCACCCAAGCCCCTTCATTTCCCCCTCACATCCCCCCCCCCCTTTCCCCCCCTTTTTAAAAACCCTTTAATCATCTTCTTCCCCAAACGCCCCCTCATCACTTTTCTTCATCATCATCATCTAAATTCCCCATTTTCCCCAAACTTCAAATTTTATTCATCATCATTTCCTTCATCAAACTTTTATCATCTATCTTTTCCCCATTTTCCTCCCTTGGGGCGCCCCCATCTTCATCATTTTCAAATTTTCATTTCTATCCTTTCATTCATCCACTTTTCCCTCAATTTTCTATTTACCCTCCATCCCATCTACTTTTTCCCCCTTCTTCTACCCTTTATCTTCCAAAAAAAACTTTCCTTTCCTATCTATCCCTATCTATCTATCTTTCCGGGGTTATCCTATCATAAAACTATTATCTTCTATCTATCCATCAAAACTTTCCCCCCACTTTACTTCTATCTACCCCCATCTATCTTTATCTCTATCAACCCCCCCCCCCAAAACTTTTTCCCATCATCATTTTCCCCCCTTCCCCTACTTTCTTTTCTTCAATTTTCTTTTATTTTTTCCTTCTTTCTCTTTTTCCCCTTCTACTTTTTACCCTCTTTTTTCTTCCCCTTCTATCAAAACGCCCCCACTTTTTAAACCTTTTATCATCTATCCCTTTTTTTCCCCCTTTTTTCCCATCTATAAAATTTCCTTATCTATCTTTTTTTATCTATCTTTATCTATTTTCGGGGTTTTTTTCATCTATCTATCTACTTTCCTATCTATCTACTTTTCCCTATCTTCTTTATTTCCCCCCTTCTTTACTTCTACTCCCTTCTTCTATCTATCTATCTAATTTTTATCTATTTCATCATCTTCTTTTTCTTCTTCATTCCTTTTTTTTCTTCTTCATTTTATTTTCCCCTTCTTCTTCGGGAAATTTCCATTTTTTTCCTTTCTTCCTTTTTTTCTATCTATCATCTTTCCCTTTCTATCCAAAAAACCCCATCTTCTTCTTCTTCTTTTCTATCTTCTTTTCCTTTTCCCTTTCTATCATCTTTTATCTATTATTTTTTATCATCTAAATTTTTATCTATCTCTTTTTTTCCCTTTTCATCTATCTATTATCTATCTATCTATCTTTTCTTTATCTTTTTAAATTCATCTATCTATCTATCTTTTTTCTATCACTATCTATTTTATTTTAAACGTCTTCTTTTTCTTCTCTTTCCTTTTCTATTATCTCTTTTTTTCCTTCATCTACTTCCCCTTTTCATCTTATCTATCTATCTTCTATTTTTTCCCCCTTTTCTACTTCAATCTTCTTCTGTTTTTCCCCTTTTCATCTGCCGTTCCTTTTTTCCCCTATCTATTTTTCCTCCTATCAAAAATTTTTCTTCATACCCAACTAAATTTCTATCCATCTTCACCCCCTTCACTTCGGCCCCTATCATCTAAACTTCCTCATCACTTTTATTTCATCTCTTAAAATTTTTCCCCTTCTACATTTTATCTTCATTTTTTTTTCTTCTTCATCTTCATCTTCACATCTTCATCACCCTTTCCATCTTCTCCTTTCTCTTCCCCAAAACTTTTCCTTCATCCACCCTCTTTATCTACCCCTTTTTTTTCCCTTTTCTTCTATCTACCTTTTTTCTATCTCTTCCTTTTTCCCTTTTCTATCTTTTTAACTTCCCTTTTCTATCTTCTATCTACTTTCCTTCCCCCAAACTTCATCTTTTATCTATCTACTGCCCCCATCATCACTTTTCATCTACCCCAAATTTTTTTTTTTTTACTTCTTTTTTTCATCTACCCCTTTTTCCATCTATCTATCATCATCTATCATCTTTTTTAATTTTCCCTTTTTTCATAAAACTTTTAAATTTCCATTTTTCCCTTCTATCTTCTATCTATCTACCCTTATCTATCTACCTTTTCCTTTACTTTTCTAATTATCTACCCCCCAAATCTATCATCATCTATCTTCTATCTATTTTCATTTTCCCCCCTTTTCTATCTTCGGGTTTTCCCTTCTTTTTTCTTCATCCTTCATCTATCAAAACGCCCCCCTTTTCTATCAAAAATTTTCTTCATCTTTAAAACCCTATCTATCTATCTAAATTTCCTTTTTCCATCTTGACTTTTCCTTTTTTTTTTTCCCATCATCATTTTCCCTTCCCTTTTATTCTTTTCCTTCTTCACCTTTTCCCCCTTTTCACCTTTTCATCTTCATCACCCAAACTTTTCCCCATCATCATCCCCCAACTTTCATCTTTCCCCCCAACCTTCATCATCCTTTCTCTTCCTACCCCTTCAAAACCTTTCCATATCAATTACATCATACCACCCCAAATTTCCATCATCATCCCCCCAAAAACCCTTTCTTCATTTTTAAACCTTCAAATTTTTTTTCATCATCCCCATTTTTTACACCCACCCCTTCCTTTTATCTATCATCCCCCCAATCTTCAAATTTTCCTACCCCCTTCCCCCTCTACATCCATTTTTAACGCCCTTCCCCTTCTTCTTCTACTTCCCCCCCATCTATCCATTTTCCGTCTTTTATCTTCCCCCTCCCCCTCACCCTCTTACGCCCCCCTTTTCCCTTTGCCCCCCTCCCCTCTTCACCCCCTTTTTCCCCTTCCCCCAACCCCCCGGGGGGAAACATATCATCATTTATTTTTTTGGACTTCCCATTTTACCCCTCATCCCAACTTTCCATCATCCCCTTCATCAAACTTCCCCCATCATCACCCGGGGCCACCCCCTTTTTTCATCATCCCCTTTTTTTTAAACTTTCCATCTTCATCAATCACCCATCACCCATCATCACCCCATCTCCGGGCGCCCCCTTCTTCATCTTCCCAAATTTTTTCCCCCAAAATTTTCATCATCTACCCACTTTTTCATCTTCTCCCCCCATCCAATCATCTTCTACTATCTAATTTCCCCAAACCCACCTTCTTCCATCTACCCCCTTTTTCCCCCCACCTTTCCCCTTCCCCCTCATCATCCCCATCATCCCCCCACACAAATTTCCCCTTCATCACCCAAATTTTTTTACCCTTATTTTTTTTTCCTTCTTCTTTTACCCGGGGTCCTCTTCACACCCATCTTCTTCTTCTTCATCAAAAATTTCCCCCCCCTTCAAAAACCCCCTTCATCTTCATCTCCATCTTCATCTTCATCATGGGGAAATTTTTTCCATTCTTCATCATCATCATCATCCCCATCATCATCTAAAATTTCCATCTATCATCATCATTTTTAAACTTTCTATCTTCTAAACTTCCCATCTATCATCATCACCCATCATCTACCCCCCTATTTTCATCTTTTTTTTCTTTTTCCTTTTTTCATCTATCTACCCATGACTCATTCTTCACTGCCGCTTTATCATCCTTCTTCCCCATCATCTATCTTCCCCCCCTTCCCCCCTTTTTCCCTTTAAATCTTCCCCCCATCATCTTCGCCCCCCCACCCCTTCCATCCCCTTCCCTTCTTTTTCATCTTCTTCCAAACGTTCCCTTCTATCATCCCCACACCCTTTTTCCTTCCCCCTTCAATTTTCACCATTTTCCTTCATCACCCTCCCCCATCATCATCCATCCGTCCTTCTCCTTATCCCTATCATCATCATCATCTAAAATTTCCTTCTTCATCTTCGACTTTTCATCATCATCATCTTCATCCCCATCCCCAATCGGGGGTTTCCTTCATCATCTTCAAATTTCATCATCATCTACCTCTACCCAAATGTTCCCCACTTCTACCCTTTCCTAATTATCTTCTATCTATCTATCTATTTTCCCTTCTATCTATTTTTAAACTTTCAAATTTCATTCTTTTTTCTTTTTTTTTCCCCTTTTTCCCCATTTTCCCCTTTTCTTCTTTCCCCATTTTCCAAACTTTTCCCTTTTTTCATTTTAACCATCTATCTTCTTCTTCTTCATCTTTATTTTTTTAACTTCTTCCACTTAAACTGTTTCTTCCTCCATCTTCCCCCCCCCCCCTCTATCCCCGCTTTTTCCCCTTCCTTTCTGCTTCCCTTTATCTTCTTCTTTTTTCTTTTCCCTTCTTTTTTGGGTTATTTCTCCCCTTCTTCTATCTTCTTCTTTTCCCCTTTTTTCCTCCCTTTTCTTCTTCTTTTCCCCTTCCCCAATCTACCATCTTTTTCCCTTATCTCTTTCTTCTATTTCATCTTCCCCTTTTTAAACCCTCCCCTTCTATCTACTTTTCTATCTTCATCTTCACTATCTTCTATCTTTCCTTTTTTTTTACTTTATTTTCCTTCCATCTCTTTTTCCCTTTTTCTTCTTTTTTCCCTTTCTTCTCAACCAAACTGTTATCTTCCCCCCTTTTTCCATCTACCCCTTTTCCTTCATCTACTTCTTCTTCTATCATTACCATCTCTACTTTTTTCATCGGGGTTTTCCCCCTCTCTTTCTTCTTCTTCATACTTCCCTTTTGACTTCTTCTTCTTTTTTCCTTACTTTTTCTTTCAACCCTTCCCTTCCTTCTATCTGCCCCCTTTCCCTTTTATCTTCTTCTACCTTTTTTTTTTCTTCTTCTTCAACCTTTTCTTCTATCTTCTCCTTATTTTCCCCTTTCTTTTTACCCTTTTCTAATCTATCTTTTCCCCTCCTTCATCCCCCCATCTTCATCACCAAACCCCCTTTTTTCCCTCCATCTTCTTCCCCCTTTACATCTTCATCGTTTCTACTTTTCCCCTCCTTTTTTCCCCTTTTTTTATCATCATCTTCTTCTGGAAACTTCCCCTTCTACCCCCCCATCATCCCCTCCATCATAAAACCCCCCCATCATCTCATCCATTTAAAATTTTTCCCATCATCCCCCCCCCATTTTCATCTTCCCCCTTTTTTATTTTTTTCTTTATCACCCAAAATTCTTCTATTTCTTTTGCCCCCCAAAAAATTTATCCCCCCTTTTTTCCTTCTATCGGGCCCCCCATTCACCATCCACTCCCCTTCATCATTTATCTATCTTAAACCCTTCTTTTCCTTCTTTTTTAAATTTTTCTTTCCCTTCTCCCCAATCTTCTATCATCGAACCCCCTCTTTACCATCCTCTTCTTCTTCATCCCCCCCCCTTTTTTTCCTTTCTTCTTCACCCTTTACTTTCCTTCTATTTTTAAAACCCATCCTTTTTTCTACCCCCCCTTCCCCATCATCAAACGCTTTTCCTCCTTCATTACTTTCCCCCATCCCCCTTCATCGTTTTCTTCATCACCCTTTATTTTTCCCCTTTTATCCCCCATCCTTTACCATCCCCTTTATCATCATTCCCAAACCTCATCTTCATTTTACCCGACCTCTTCAAAATTTTTAAACGTTTCCCTCTCCCATCACTAATTTTCCATCTTCTTCATCCCCTTCCCCCAAATTTTCATCATCTATCTTTTTTCATCATCATCTTCCATCATCTACTTTTTTCTACCCCAATTTTAATTTTCTTATCTTCTTCTTCATCTCCCCTTTCCAAAATCATTTTTTTTTTCTATCTATCTTCTTCTTTTTTAAACTTTTTCTATCTATCTTTTCCCTTTTTTTCCCCTTCTTCTTCTTTTTCCTATCTATTTTCTTCATCATTCTTTTAAACTTTTATTTTACCCCTTTTTTTTTTTTTCTTTTTTT